TCGGTTTACTTCTCTCATATATTATGAAATTCGGTTTACATCACTCATATATTACTTGAATTCGGTTTACTTCTCTCATATATTATGAAATTCGGTTTACATCACTCATATATTACTTGAATTCGGTTTACTTCTCTCATATACTATGAATTCGGTTTACATCACTCATATATTACTTGAATTCGGTTTACTTCTCTCATATATTATGAAATTCGGTTTACATCACTCATATATTACTTGAATTCGGTTTACTTCTCTCATATATTATGAAATTCGGTTTACATCACTCATATATTACTTGAATTCGGTTTACTTCTCTCATATATTATGAAATTCGGTTTACATCACTCATATATTACTTGAATTCGGTTTACTTCTCTCATATATTATGAAATTCGGTTTACATCACTCATATATTACTTGAATTCGGTTTACTTCTCTCATATATTATGAAATTCGGTTTACATCACTCATATATTACTTGAATTCGGTTTACTTCTCTCATATATTATGAATTCGGTTTACATCACTCATATATTACTTGAATTCGGTTTACTTCTCTCATATATTATGAAATTCGGTTTACATCACTCATATATTACTTGAATTCGGTTTACTTCTCTCATATACTATGAATTCGGTTTACATCACTCATATATTACTTGAATTCGGTTTACTTCTCTCATATATTATGAAATTCGGTTTACATCACTCATATATTACTTGAATTCGGTTTACTTCTCTCATATATTATGAAATTCGGTTTACATCACTCATATATTACTTGAATTCGGTTTACTTCTCTCATATATTATGAAATTCGGTTTACATCACTCATATATTACTTGAATTCGGTTTACTTCTCTCATATATTATGAAATTCGGTTTACATCACTCATATATTACTTGAATTCGGTTTACTTCTCTCATATATTATGAAATTCGGTTTACATCACTCATATATTACTTGAATTCGGTTTACTTCTCTCATATATTATGAAATTCGGTTTACATCACTCATATATTACTTGAATTCGGTTTACTTCTCTCATATATTATGAAATTCGGTTTACATCACTCATATATTACTTGAATTCGGTTTACTTCTCTCATATATTATGAAATTCGGTTTACATCACTCATATATTACTTGAATTCGGTTTACTTCTCTCATATATTATGAATTCGGTTTACATCACTCATATATTACTTGAATTCGGTTTACTTCTCTCATATATTATGAAATTCGGTTTACATCACTCATATATTACTTGAATTCGGTTTACTTCTCTCATAATACTATGAATTCGGTTTACATCACTCATATATTACTTGAATTCGGTTTACTTCTCTCATATATTATGAAATTCGGTTTACATCACTCATATATTACTTGAATTCGGTTTACTTCTCTCATATACTAGAATTCGGTTTACATCACTCATATATTACTTGAATTCGGTTTACTTCTCTCATATATTATGAAATTCGGTTTACATCACTCATATATTACTTGAATTCGGTTTACTTCTCTCATATATTATGAAATTCGGTTTACATCACTCATATATTACTTGAATTCGGTTTACTTCTCTCATATATTATGAAATTCGGTTTACATCACTCATATATTACTTGAATTCGGTTTACTTCTCTCATATATTATGAAATTCGGTTTACATCACTCATATATTACTTGAATTCGGTTTACTTCTCTCATATATTATGAATTCGGTTTACATCACTCATATATTACTTGAATTCGGTTTACTTCTCTCATATATTATGAATTCGGTTTACATCACTCATATATTACTTGAATTCGGTTTACTTCTCTCATAATACTATGAATTCGGTTTACATCACTCATATATTACTTGAATTCGGTTTACTTCTCTCATATATTATGAAATTCGGTTTACATCACTCATATATTACTTGAATTCGGTTTACTTCTCTCATATATTATGAAATTCGGTTTACATCACTCATATATTACTTGAATTCGGTTTACTTCTCTCATATATTATGAAATTCGGTTTACATCACTCATATATTACTTGAATTCGGTTTACTTCTCTCATATATTATGAAATTCGGTTTACATCACTCATATATTACTTGAATTCGGTTTACTTCTCTCATATATTATGAAATTCGGTTTACATCACTCATATATTACTTGAATTCGGTTTACTTCTCTCATATATTATGAAATTCGGTTTACATCACTCATATATTACTTGAATTCGGTTTACTTCTCTCATATATTATGAAATTCGGTTTACATCACTCATATATTACTTGAATTCGGTTTACTTCTCTCATATACTAGAATTCGGTTTACATCACTCATATATTACTTGAATTCGGTTTACTTCTCTCATATATTATGAAATTCGGTTTACATCACTCATATATTACTTGAATTCGGTTTACTTCTCTCATATACTATGAATTCGGTTTACATCACTCATATATTACTTGAATTCGGTTTACTTCTCTCATATATTATGAAATTCGGTTTACATCACTCATATATTACTTGAATTCGGTTTACTTCTCTCATATATTATGAAATTCGGTTTACATCACTCATATATTACTTGAATTCGGTTTACTTCTCTCATATATTATGAAATTCGGTTTACATCACTCATATATTACTTGAATTCGGTTTACTTCTCTCATATATTATGAAATTCGGTTTACATCACTCATATATTACTTGAATTCGGTTTACTCTCATATATTATGAAATTCGGTTTACATCACTCATATATTACTTGAATTCGGTTTACTTCTCTCATATATTATGAAATTCGGTTTACATCACTCATATATTACTTGAATTCGGTTTACTTCTCTCATATACTTGAATTCGGTTTACATCACTCATATATTACTTGAATTCGGTTTACTTCTCTCATATATTATGAAATTCGGTTTACATCACTCATATATTACTTGAATTCGGTTTACTTCTCTCATATATATGAATTCGGTTTACATCACTCATATATTACTTGAATTCGGTTTACTTCTCTCATATATTATGAAATTCGGTTTACATCACTCATATATTACTTGAATTCGGTTTACTTCTCTCATATATTATGAAATTCGGTTTACATCACTCATATATTACTTGAATTCGGTTTACTTCTCTCATATATTATGAATTCGGTTTACATCACTCATATATTACTTGAATTCGGTTTACTTCTCTCATATATTATGAATTCGGTTTACATCACTCATATATTACTTGAATTCGGTTTACTTCTCTCATATATTATGAAATTCGGTTTACATCACTCATATATTACTTGAATTCGGTTTACTTCTCTCATATATTATGAAATTCGGTTTACATCACTCATATATTACTTGAATTCGGTTTACTTCTCTCATATATTATGAAATTCGGTTTACATCACTCATATATTACTTGAATTCGGTTTACTTCTCTCATATATTATGAAATTCGGTTTACATCACTCATATATTACTTGAATTCGGTTTACTTCTCTCATATATTATAAATTCGGTTTACATCACTCATATATTACTTGAATTCGGTTTACTTCTCTCATATATTACTTGAATTCGGTTTACATCACTCATATATTACTTGAATTCGGTTTACTTCTCTCATATATTACTTGAATTCGGTTTACATCACTCATATATTACTTGAATTCGGTTTACTTCTCTCATATATTATGAAATTCGGTTTACATCACTCATATATTACTTGAATTCGGTTTACTTCTCTCATATATTATGAAATTCGGTTTACATCACTCATATATTACTTGAATTCGGTTTACTTCTCTCATATATTATGAAATTCGGTTTACATCACTCATATATTACTTGAATTCGGTTTACTTCTCTCATATATTATGAAATTCGGTTTACATCACTCATATATTACTTGAATTCGGTTTACTTCTCTCATATATTATGAAATTCGGTTTACATCACTCATATATTACTTGAATTCGGTTTACTCTCATATATTATGAAATTCGGTTTACATCACTCATATATTACTTGAATTCGGTTTACTTCTCTCATATTATGAATTCGGTTTACATCACTCATATATTACTTGAATTCGGTTTACTTCTCTCATAATTACTAAATTCGGTTTACATCACTCATATATTACTTGAATTCGGTTTACTTCTCTCATATATTATGAAATTCGGTTTACATCACTCATATATTACTTGAATTCGGTTTACTTCTCTCATATATTATGAAATTCGGTTTACATCACTCATATATTACTTGAATTCGGTTTACTTCTCTCATATATTATGAAATTCGGTTTACATCACTCATATATTACTTGAATTCGGTTTACTTCTCTCATATATTATGAAATTCGGTTTACATCACTCATATATTACTTGAATTCGGTTTACTTCTCTCATATATTATGAAATTCGGTTTACATCACTCATATATTACTTGAATTCGGTTTACTTCTCTCATATATTATGAAATTCGGTTTACATCACTCATATATTACTTGAATTCGGTTTACTTCTCTCATAATATTTGAATTCGGTTTACATCACTCATATATTACTTGAATTCGGTTTACTTCTCTCATATATTATGAAATTCGGTTTACATCACTCATATATTACTTGAATTCGGTTTACTTCTCTCATAATACTAGAATTCGGTTTACATCACTCATATATTACTTGAATTCGGTTTACTTCTCTCATAATACTAGAATTCGGTTTACATCACTCATATATTTCTTGAATTCGGTTTACTTCTCTCATATATTATGAAATTCGGTTTACATCACTCATATATTACTTGAATTCGGTTTACTTCTCTCATAACTACTAGAATTCGGTTTACATCACTTATATATTACTTGAATTCCTCGAGCACAACTATTTATATTTGCAGAATATTTGGCTGTAATAGGTCTTATCTCATGGGTTGGATCTATAAGGCCTGTTTCTGAAATGCAATCTCGATTTTACTGTGAAGTATTTGCTGGCCATTGCAAGTTACGCAAAACGGATGTTAAGAGAGAAAGAGTACAAATGGAAAAGAGATTTCTGAAAAGTCAACGACATATTTTAGTGGTTTATCATGATCATATCACAAAAAAAAATTCACAAAATAAAGCAAAATATTATTTTTATTCACTTAAGATAGATTATGTAACCCATATGGATGAACTGGCGAAGATGGTTGGTGTGAAACCGAATTTGATGAAACTGGTTCACTGATCCTCGTTATATATTGTTATTTGAAGGCTTGCACCATAACAGTTTAGATTAAATGTTAATTTTAGTTTCAATAAACTTGAATATGTAGTTTGCAAAATTGCATAAAGTTAAACTAATGAATTCGGTTTACTTCTCTCATATATTATGAAATTCGGTTTACATCACTCATATATTACTTGAATTCGGTTTACTTCTCTCATATATTATGAAATTCGGTTTACATCACTCATATATTACTTGAATTCGGTTTACTTCTCTCATATATTATGAAATTCGGTTTACATCACTCATATATTACTTGAATTCGGTTTACTTCTCTCATATATTATGAAATTCGGTTTACATCACTCATATATTACTTGAATTCGGTTTACTTCTCTCATATATTATGAAATTCGGTTTACATCACTCATATTATCTGAATTCGGTTTACTTCTCTCATAACTACTAGAATTCGGTTTACATCACTCATATATTACTTGAATTCGGTTTACTTCTCTCATAATTACTAGAATTCGGTTTACATCACTCATATATTACTTGAATTCGGTTTACTTCTCTCATAACTACTAGAATTCGGTTTACATCACTCATATATTACTTGAATTCGGTTTACTTCTCTCATATATTATGAAATTCGGTTTACATCACTCATATATTACTTGAATTCGGTTTACTTCTCTCATATATTATGAAATTCGGTTTACATCACTCATATATTACTTGAATTCGGTTTACTTCTCTCATATATTATGAAATTCGGTTTACATCACTCATATATTACTTGAATTCGGTTTACTTCTCTCATATATTATGAAATTCGGTTTACATCACTCATATATTACTTGAATTCGGTTTACTTCTCTCATATATTATGAAATTCGGTTTACATCACTCATATATTACTTGAATTCGGTTTACTTCTCTCATATATTATGAAATTCGGTTTACATCACTCATATATTACTTGAATTCGGTTTACTTCTCTCATATATTATGAAATTCGGTTTACATCACTCATATATTACTTGAATTCGGTTTACTTCTCTCATATATTATGAATTCGGTTTACATCACTCATATATTACTTGAATTCGGTTTACTTCTCTCATATTATTATGAAATTCGGTTTACATCACTCATATATTACTTGAATTCGGTTTACTTCTCTCATATATTATGAAATTCGGTTTACATCACTCATATATTACTTGAATTCGGTTTACTTCTCTCATAATTATGAAATTCGGTTTACATCACTCATATATTACTTGAATTCGGTTTACTTCTCTCATATATTATGAAATTCGGTTTACATCACTCATATATTACTTGAATTCGGTTTACTTCTCTCATATATTATGAAATTCGGTTTACATCACTCATATATTACTTGAATTCGGTTTACTTCTCTCATATATTATGAAATTCGGTTTACATCACTCATATATTACTTGAATTCGGTTTACTTCTCTCATATATTATGAAATTCGGTTTACATCACTCATATATTTCATGAATTCGGTTTACTTCTCTCATATATTATGAAATTCGGTTTACATCACTCATATATTACTTGAATTCGGTTTACTTCTCTCATAACTACTAGAATTCGGTTTACATCACTCATATATTACTTGAATTCGGTTTACTTCTCTCATATATTATGAAATTCGGTTTACATCACTCATATATTACTTGAATTCGGTTTACTTCTCTCATAATATTAGAATTCGGTTTACATCACTCATATATTACTTGAATTCGGTTTACTTCTCTCATATATTATGAAATTCGGTTTACATCACTCATATATTACTTGAATTCGGTTTACTTCTCTCATATATTATGAAATTCGGTTTACATCACTCATATATTACTTGAATTCGGTTTACTTCTCTCATAATATAGAATTCGGTTTACATCACTCATATATTACTTGAATTCGGTTTACTTCTCTCATATATTATGAAATTCGGTTTACATCACTCATATATTACTTGAATTCGGTTTACTTCTCTCATATATTAGAAATTCGGTTTACATCACTCATATATTACTTGAATTCGGTTTACTTCTCTCATATATTATGAAATTCGGTTTACATCACTCATATATTGAATTCGGTTTACTTCTCTCATATATTATGAAATTCATTCATTTACATATATTTCTGAATTCGGTTTACTTCTCTCATATATTATGAAATCGGTTTACATCACTCATATATTTCTGAATTCGGTAACTTCATATATTAGAATTCGGTTTATCACTCATATATTACTTGAATTCGGTTCACTCTCATAACTACAGAATTCGGTTTACATCACTCATATATTACTTGAATTCGGTTTACTTCTCTCATAACTTAGAATTGTTTACATCACTCATATATTACTTGAATTCGGTTTACTTCTCTCATATATTATGAAATTCGGTTTACATCACTCATATATTACTTGAATTCGGTTCGGTTTCTCTCATATATTATGAAATTCGGTTTACATCACTCATATATTACTTGAATTCGGTTTACTTCTCTCATATATTATGAAATTCGGTTTACATCACTCATATATTACTTGAATTCGGTTTACTTCTCTCATATATTATGAAATTCGGTTTACATCACTCATATATTACTTGAATTCGGTTTACTTCTCTCATATATTATGAAATTCGGTTTACATCACTCATATATTACTTGAATTCGGTTTACTTCTCTCATATATTATGAAATTCGGTTTACATCACTCATATATTACTTGAATTCGGTTTACTTCTCTCATATATTATGAAATTCGGTTTACATCACTCATATATTACTTGAATTCGGTTTACTTCTCTCATATATTATGAATTCGGTTTACATCACTCATATATTACTTGAATTCGGTTTACTTCTCTCATATATTATGAAATTCGGTTTACATCACTCATATATTACTTGAATTCGGTTTACTTCTCTCATAACTACTAGAATTCGGTTTACATCACTCATATATTACTTGAATTCGGTTTACTTCTCTCATATATATGAAATTCGGTTTACATCACTCATATATTACTTGAATTCGGTTTACTTCTCTCATATATTATGAAATTCGGTTTACATCACTCATATATTACTTGAATTCGGTTTACTTCTCTCATATATTATGAAATTCGGTTTACATCACTCATATATTACTTGAATTCGGTTTACTTCTCTCATATATTACTTGAATTCGGTTTACATCACTCATATATTACTTGAATTCGGTTTACTTCTCTCATATATTATGAAATTCGGTTTACATCACTCATATATTACTTGAATTCGGTTTACTTCTCTCATATATTATGAAATTCGGTTTACATCACTCATATATTACTTGAATTCGGTTTACTTCTCTCATATATTATGAAATTCGGTTTACATCACTCATATATTACTTGAATTCGGTTTACTTCTCTCATAACTACTAGAATTCGGTTTACATCACTCATATATTACTTGAATTCGGTTTACTTTCTCATATATTATGAAATTCGGTTTACATCACTCATATATTACTTGAATTCGGTTTACTTCTCTCATAACTACTAGAATTCGGTTTACATCACTCATATATTACTTGAATTCGGTTTACTTCTCTCATAACTACGTAGAATTCGGTTTACATCACTCATATATTTCTTGAATTCGGTTTACTTCTCTCATATATTATGAAATTCGGTTTACATCACTCATATATTACTTGAATTCGGTTTACTTCTCTCATAACTACTAGAATTCGGTTTACATCACTCATATATTACTTGAATTCGGTTTACTTCTCTCATATATTATGAAATTCGGTTTACATCACTCATATATTACTTGAATTCGGTTTACTTCTCTCATTTACGAAATTCGGTTTACATCACTCATATATTACTTGAATTCGGTTTACTTCTCTCATATATTATGAAATTCGGTTTACATCACTCATATATTACTTGAATTCGGTTTACTTCTCTCATATATTATGAAATTCGGTTTACATCACTCATATATTACTTGAATTCGGTTTACTTCTCTCATATTATGAAATTCGGTTTACATCACTCATATATTATTGAATTCGGTTTACTTCTCTCATATACTTAGAATTTCGGTTTACATCACTCATATATTACTTGAATTCGGTTTACTTCTCTCATAATTATGAAATTCGGTTTACATCACTCATATATTACTTGAATTCGGTTTACTTCTCTCATATATTACTAGAATTCGGTTTACATCACTCATATATTACTTGAATTCGGTTTACTTCTCTCATATATTATGAAATTCGGTTTACATCACTCATATATTACTTGAATTCGGTTTACTTCTCTCATATATTATGAAATTCGGTTTACATCACTCATATATTACTTGAATTCGGTTTACTTCTCTCATATATTATGAAATTCGGTTTACATCACTCATATATTACTTGAATTCGGTTTACTTCTCTCATATATTATGAAATTCGGTTTACATCACTCATATATTACTTGAATTCGGTTTACTTCTCTCATATATTATGAAATTCGGTTTACATCACTCATATATTACTTGAATTCGGTTTACTTCTCTCATATATTATGAAATTCGGTTTACATCACTCATATATTACTTGAATTCGGTTTACTTCTCTCATATATAGAATTCGGTTTACATCACTCATATATTACTTGAATTCGGTTTACTTCTCTCATAACTACTAAATTCGGTTTACATCACTCATATATTACTTGAATTCGGTTTACTTCTCTCATATATTATGAAATTCGGTTTACATCACTCATATATTACTTGAATTCGGTTTACTTCTCTCATATTATGAAATTCGGTTTACATCACTCATATATTACTTGAATTCGGTTTACTTCTCTCATATATTATGAAATTCGGTTTACATCACTCATATATTACTTGAATTCGGTTTACTTCTCTCATATATTATGAAATTCGGTTTACATCACTC